TGATGCGAGTTGTAATTACTGGCTGTCACGTGATGATGCTAGTGGTAATTACTGACTGTCACGTGATGATGCTAGTGGTAATTACTGGCTGTCACGTGATGATGCTAGTGGTAATTACTGACTGTCACGTGATGATGCTAGTGGTAATTACTGACTGTCATGTGATGATGCTAGTGGTAATTACTGACTGTCACGTGATGATGCTAGTGGTAATTACTGGCTGTCACGGGATGATGCTAGTGGTAATTACTGACTGTCACGTGATGATGCTAGTGGTAATTACTGGCTGTCAGGTGATGATGCTAGTGGTAATTACTGACTGTCACGTGATGATGCTAGTGGTAATTACTGGCTGTCACGTGATGATGCTAGTGGTAATTACTGACTGTCACGTGATGATGCTAGTGGTAATTACTGGCTGTCACGTGATGATGCTAGTGGTAATTACTGGCTGTCACGTGATGATGCTAGTTGTAATTACTGACTGTCACGTGATGATGCTAGTGGTAATTACTGGCTGTCACGTGATGATGCTAGTGGTAATTACTGACTGTCACGTGATGATGCTAGTGGTAATTACTGGCTGTCAGGTGATGATGCTAGTGGTAATTACTGACTGTCACGTGATGATGCTAGTGGTAATTACTGGCTGTCACGTGATGATGCTAGTGGTAATTACTGACTGTCACGTGATGATGCTAGTGGTAATTACTGGCTGTCACGTGATGATGCTAGTGGTAATTACTGGCTGTCACGTGATGATGCTAGTGGTAATTACTGGCTGTCGCCTGATGATGCTAGTTGTAATTACTGACTGTCACGTGATGATGCTAGTGGTAATTACTGACTGTCACCTGATGATGCTAGTGGTAATTACTGACTGTCACGTGATGATGCTAGTTGTAATTACTGTCTGTCACCTGAATATGCTAGTGGTAATTACTGACTGTCACGTGATGATGCTAGTGGTAATTACTGACTGTCACGTGATGATGCTAGTGGTAATTACTGGCTGTCACGTGATGATGCTAGTGGTAATTACTAACAGTCACGTGATGATGCTAGTGGTAATTACTGGCTGTCACGTGATGATGCTAGTGGTAATTACTGGCTGTCACGTGATGATGCGAGTTGTAATTACTGGCTGTCACGTGATGATGCTAGTGGTAATTACTGACTGTCACGTGATGATGCTAGTGGTAATTACTGGCTGTCACGTGATGATGCTAGTGGTAATTACTGACTGTCACGTGATGATGCTAGTGGTAATTACTGACTGTCATGTGATGATGCTAGTGGTAATTACTGACTGTCACGTGATGATGCTAGTGGTAATTACTGGCTGTCACGTGATGATGCTAGTGGTAATTACTGACTGTCACGTGATGATGCTAGTGGTAATTACTGGCTGTCAGGTGATGATGCTAGTGGTAATTACTGACTGTCACGTGATGATGCTAGTGGTAATTACTGGCTGTCACGTGATGATGCTAGTGGTAATTACTGACTGTCACGTGATGATGCTAGTGGTAATTACTGGCTGTCACGTGATGATGCTAGTGGTAATTACTGGCTGTCACGTGATGATGCTAGTTGTAATTACTGACTGTCACGTGATGATGCTAGTGGTAATTACTGGCTGTCACGTGATGATGCTAGTGGTAATTACTGACTGTCACGTGATGATGCTAGTGGTAATTACTGGCTGTCAGGTGATGATGCTAGTGGTAATTACTGACTGTCACGTGATGATGCTAGTGGTAATTACTGGCTGTCACGTGATGATGCTAGTGGTAATTACTGACTGTCACGTGATGATGCTAGTGGTAATTACTGGCTGTCACGTGATGATGCTAGTGGTAATTACTGGCTGTCACGTGATGATGCTAGTTGTAATTACTGACTGTCACGTGATGATGCTAGTGGTAATTACTGGCTGTCACGTGATGATGCTAGTGGTAATTACTGACTGGCACGTGATGATGCTAGTTGTAATTACTGACTGTCACGTGATGATGCTAGTGGTAATTACTGACTGTCACGTGATGATGCTAGTGATAATTACTGGCTGTCACGTGATGATGCTAGTGGTAATTACTGACTGTCACGTGATGATGCTAGTGGTAATTACTGGCTGTCACGTGATGATGCTAGTGGTAATTACTGACTGTCACGTGATGATGCTAGTTGTAATTACTGACTGTCACGTGATGATGCTAGTGGTAATTACTGGCTGTCACGTGATGATGCTAGTGGTAATTACTGGCTGTCACGTGATGATGCTAGTGGTAATTACTGGCTGTCACGTGATGATGCTAGTGGTAATTACTGGCTGTCACGTGATGATGCTAGTTGTAATTACTGACTGTCACGTGATGATGCTAGTGGTAATTACTGTCTGTCACGTGATGATGCTAGTGGTAATTACTGGCTGTCACGTGATGATGCTAGTGGTAATTACTGGCTGTCACGTGATGATTGATGCTAGTGGTAATTACTGACTGTCACGTGATGATGCTAGTTGCAATTACTGACTGTCACGTGATGATGCTAGTTGTAATTACTGGCTGTCACGTGATGATGCTAGTGGTAATTACTGACTGTCACGTGATGATGCTAGTGGTAATTACTGGCTGTCACGTGATGATGCTAGTGGTAATTACTGACTGTCACGTGATGATGCTAGTTGTAATTACTGACTGTCACGTGATGATGCTAGTGGTAATTACTGGCTGTCACGTGATGATGCTAGTGGTACTGGGATGCTATTGGTAATTACTGGCTGTCACGTGATGATGCTAGTGGTAATTACTGGCTGTCACGTGATGATGCTAGTTGTAATTACTGACTGTCACGTGATGATGCTAGTGGTAATTACTGTCTGTCACGTGATGATGCTAGTGGTAATTACTGGCTGTCACGTGATGATGCTAGTGGTAATTACTGGCTGTCACGTGATGATTGATGCTAGTGGTAATTACTGACTGTCACGTGATGATGCTAGTTGCAATTACTGACTGTCACGTGATGATGCTAGTTGTAATTACTGTCTGTCACGTGATGATGCTAGTTGTAATTACTGGCTGTCACGTGATGATGCTAGTTGTAATTACTGGCTGTCACCTGATGATGTGAGTTGTAATTACTGGTGAAATGTCGTACTCGAATTGTAAATGTTGTAGTGGGTTTTACTTTCCACCACACCGATGTGCTGTATTAGTAACGAATTGGCATTGTTTTGTTTACGCGACAAACCTTACCAATTGGTTGTATCGGGTGGTGTTGACGGGTTAAACGACATTTCTATTTAAACATTTATATTTAAGCGATCTAACCCAAAAAACCCGTCTTATTTAGCGATGTGCAGTGATCACCGCGTCTGTCTCTGCTGCTGCTACTGCTGCCACTTCTTTCAACGACAAAAAAAAAGATCGGAGTCCCAAATTTGGGGGAGGGGGGGTCGGCGGTGGAGAAGGATCAGGGCTGAAGCAATCGGCCGTCACTCGAGAATAAATACAAAAAAATATCTAAATGTAAAATAAAAACACGTGCTATGTAGGAATAAGAAAACATGATTGCACGTACTGTAGAAGACAACTTGATGATGCAGGCAGTGGTGAGAATGAAACTACCACTATTTGGACACGTATTATGTAGGTTGGACAATAACAGCAGTTGTTCGGAGAAATGGAAGGAACCGGACAGAGAGGAAGACCTAACAGAGAATGTGCTTGACGATGACGACGACGACGACGTAAGACATCGGTGCCAGTAAGATGTGGCCACTACTTTGAGCATGTTGTCACCACAAGACAGAGAAAGCGGAAACAACGAATGGCGAAATGTACAATTGACACCACCTTCTGCGGGCTGTGTGTCCGTGGATCGTGATGATCGTTGTGGTGGCGGTGATGATGATGAAAATGCGTGACGCTGCGCCTCGCCTTTCTCGACGATAATTTCAACGGCCCTTAAAATGGAGCGGGTAAAATTCAACAGGTAATCTTGTCCGCTACGAAGAAGGGCCGGTGTTTAGGAAGAAATTAAGAACTGAATATGCAAGAGGCAACGTGACGGATGACAGCCCTTCGTCAAAGCGCGCCGTCTAATGTACCACGTTAAACTTCTGTCGTGGTAATGGCTCTGCATCAGGTTTGACCTCGGGTGCCGTGGTGGCGAGATGGTAACTACCTCGCCTGGTGTGCAGGAGGTCGTGGCTTCGATCCGGACTCTGACGTCTGATGTATATTTGGAGTTTGCGTGTCTCTCATCATCATCATCATCACGGTGGCTAGGAGATGTTAATTACCTCGCCTGGTATGCAGGAGGTCCTGGCTTCGATCCCGACCCTGACGTCTGATGTATATTTGGAGTTTGCAGTGTCTCTCCCTTTCTCATCATCATCACGGTGGCTAGGAGATGTTAATTACCTCGCCTGGTATGCAGGAGGTCTTGGCTTTGATCCCGACCCTGACGCCTGCTGCTGTGTATTTGGAGTTTGCGTGTCTCTCATCATCATCATCATCATCACGGTGGCTAGGAGATGTTAATTACCTCGCCTGGTATACAGGAGGTCTTGGCTTTGATCCCGACCCTGACGCCTGCTGCTGTGTATTTGGAGTTTGCGTGTCTCTCTCCCCGTGGTCGCGCGGATTTTCTCTCCACATTGAGAATCAACATCACGCGTTAAGAGTGTTTTGGCTGCTGTATATTTGCACGTGATGATGATGATGAGCCACTTCGTTGAGCCATCATTTGTGATTGCCAGGTTGCTTCTGAAAAAACCAGCTGCATAGCAGCTCAGTGGAGGCCTTACCTGGTGAAATAATAACATTTTAGTTGAATAGCTTTAGTTTCAGTGCCCCACCGAGCCCCTGTTGTTGCTGCTGCTGCTGCTGCTAACGTCAACTCACTGCTCTCTCGTCTTTCTCAGTGCGTCTGACGAGGGAGCGCTCCTTCTGGAAGTCAGGTAACCCTTGCCGACACCTCGCGCTCAGCGCTCACTCGATCTCTGTCCACCCCGGCCGCTACGAGCGTGTCCACGCGTAACGATCGTAAACAAAGTGAACACAAAACGTGCCCAGGTCATACTCTTAGCATTTTCAGTAAAGTCACGTAGGTAAAAAAATTTAATAAAAATTTATAAAAATAAAATAATATTTTATATTATTAATTTTAATATTATTAATTTTAATTTCATTTTTTTACCTACTTGACTTTACCGAAAAAACTAAGAGTATGAATCCTTGCAGTCACGAAAGCTTCAAATCTAGAAGTGCCCAGGTCAACTAAGTGAGAACTCTCTGGCGGAGGGGAGGGGGGTGACGAGGGGACGAGGCTTCGAGGTTTCCACTCGAGCGGCCGACCCGGTTAATGCCGCGCCTGGGCGCGTTGACAGCAGCCCGTGTGCGCGTGGCCGCTCAAACGAGCGCCGTTTGCTCCACCCTCGGTAGCCAGGCTCGTAGCGCAGCGCGAGTACACACACACACGAGTACACACACACACGAGTACACACACACACGAGTACACACACGAGTACACACACACACACGAGTACACACACACACGAGTACACACACGAGTACACACACAACAACAACAACAACCGCCATTCGCCACTAAGTGGCGGTGACGTCACCACGATGCTTGTGCCAGGCCAAGTGCACCTTGAGGCCACGTGAAGTGTCGAAAGCCCGCTGGCAGGAGGTCACGGGGCAGACCCAGCAGGTGCCACGGGTCGACTGACCGAGATGACCGAGATGACTGGCTGATGCACCACCTGTGCCCCCTACTGTGCCAAC